GGGGGGGGGGGGGGGCAGGGAGCCACGCGCCACCCATTCCCCCAGGCCTCCGACTTTGCAAACCAGCTGCTGTCCCGAGCCTGCTGCGCCTGGAGGAGGAATAGTTAAGCACTGGTGTGTGAGCGTGCATATGCACGCGCACATGTTTGTGCAGTTTTTATTCCTCCCCTGCCGCTCCATGATTTTGAGACTCAGAGCGGAGGAGAAACGGGCTTGGAACAGGAAAGCCAGGAGCTCCCGGGCAGAGCGGGGTGCCTCCCTCCGCACCAAGCTTCTGACTTTTCCCGGGCTGAGGGACTGCACAGTCCAGAGAGGTGAGCGTCGCACACCGTGCCGCCCCTGCGAGGCTGCTGGAGAACTTGGGTCCCCGGACTCTCCCGTGCTCCAAACGGCGCAGTGCAGCCTTCGGAGGCTGATCCCCTCACGGGGAGGGGGGAAATAAAAACCGCACAAACACACGTGCGTGCACATGCACTCCTGTTCCAAGCCCGTTTTTCCTCTGCTCTCAGAGTCTCTCAAAATCACAGAGCAGCAGGGGAGGAATAAAAACTGCACAAACACACGCGTGCGTGCACACACACACACTGGCACTTAACTCTTCCTCCTTCAGGCACAGCACGCTCGGGACTGGCTGGTTTGCAAAGTTGGAGGCCCAGGGAATGGGTGGTGTGTGGCTCCCTGCCCCCCCACCCCGTTTTAGCAAACCAAGGAACTGCTGCGGATCTGCTCTTTGCGCTTTGCTCTGACACTGAGTGCTGGAGAACTCATGTCTCCGGGCTCTTCTGGGCTCCCAACACACAGTGCAGCCATCGGGGAGGGGGCCGCCCCTCCGCCCCAAAATTTCTCCCAACAAGGAGGAGCAGGCGAGGCCACAGGGAGCCGGAGGAGAGGCTGCGTCTTTCGTGCTTACCAGTCCTGGGGCGATCTGAGAGGGGTCGGGTGCAGCTCTCGGGCAGCCAGTGAGGCGTTGCGCAGCACACTGCGGGCTCCGCACCTCCCTTTGTGGCCACCAGGAGTGGCAGCGCTGGGTTGCGTGCCGGACCGCGCGGGTGATGTCACTAAAGGGTGATGATACACTATAAATTACTGTA